AGTTTGTCTTCTCGTGGTGTTAGCAGCAGCAGGGTTTTCATCGCTCCGGCGATGGGTGGCCCAGCTCTAAACTAGCAATAAGTACCTCTCCAATACCCTTGAAATTTTTCTTTAACCAACTGCCAAGCTTTTGAAACATGTTCTTGTGTTTCTTGTCATGCGAGTTGTGGTCCATTTGCCCCTCGTCGAGAGAAGAGCCTGGTGGAGTGCTGAAGACCGGGAGGCAGGAGGTCACCAACAGCAGGAACAGCAGGCCGAGCGACATGACTAACAACACACACATACAACATATAAACATAAATTGTATTCACATAAGTCACTTTTTTACTCATTCATATATGCCTCTGCTTAACTGTAGAACACAAAAACTCAACCCAGTAATAATGTCTTTAAAATAAGATGAAGAAAGGGTCGGTGGCCCTGAGAGCTCAAGGTACTGCAGCTTTAGTAAACACATGCAAATAGACAAAATGCAAGCAAATGAAAAATAAAACCTCTTCACTACCCTGACAGCACAGCATTTAAAAATGAAAAAAATGCTGCAAAGTGAGAAAACAACCAAAAACAGCAACACAGTTACACTGCAAGATGCACAGGACACAACACAAGTTTCCGATCTGTGGGCTCAACATTGCTCCGCTTTTTTAAAAAAAAACTGAGCAGGACCGCCTACTTGATGGTCAGACAGTTTTTGTCCAGTTTTAGCCTGGTGGAGCTGGAGAGGGGTGGCTTTACCTTGTACAGCAGAAAAAAAGAATGAACTGTTTGGTTGTAATGAGAAAAAATAATGACTATTAAAATCTGATATACTAAGCACCTGTAAGGATAAATGAGAAATGATTATGTAGCAACGCCACCTGTCAGTCATCAAGGGTGTCTTATGGTTTAGCAGTTTAACAGCTAAATATGATAGATTCAGGTTTTGGCGTAGGTTGAAAAAATTTGGGCTTGGACTTGTCTGTACACAATGTACAAACTGGGTCATGTGTTGAGTAGAAACTGTGTGGTATGGTATTTGTATAATCAAAAACCAACCCATCCATGGGTATTACTTTAATTTTAAATTGACTTTGGTGCAGATGTTTTCTAGGCTGTTTAAGCAAGAACTTCTTCTTCTTCTTCGTCTTATCCAACATTTGTTCAATAGGGATTTTTAGTTAATAGATCTTAATATTACTTTAAGGGATTGTTAATAAGTATTTGTTTTCCATTGTTGTAAAAACTGACTATGTGAAATGGGAAGCTTTCTTGTACCTGTGCAGAAGTGCATGAGGTCTGTGACATTACACTTAAAGTTAGAGCCACCTGAATGCAAATGCTCTCCACACAGTAACATGCTGTTCATTTTGTAAGTCATTGAAACAAGTGTGTCTCTCACTCCTATGCAATAAAGTCCTTCTCTCTCTCTCTCTCTCTCTCTCTCTCTCTCTCTGTGTGTGTGTGTGTGTTCGCAGAATAGGTAAAATAAATGTGAAAGCTTTTTCTTAATCTATACAGTGAATTTAATCTCAAGTTACACAAAAAAGAGACTGTTCTCATCATATATTTTGGCTTGAAGCTGAAACAGAGTTAATGACATATTTAATGGCTGTGTTCCATTTAGCTATACCAGGAAGCTTTGCCAAAGAGCCAACACAAACAAGGCCATGTAACTGGTACACCTAATGGGATGCTGCCATTATTCACATTATTAAGTAGTTTTACAAGTTAAAATGTGCGCTGTGAGAAAGATCTGTGGGCGAGTTTGTTTACATTATTAAAAATCTTCATCTCGGATTTAGTTGTTGTGAAACAATTTTATATTGAAAATATCAAAACAAATTCTGCGGCTTTTTTCTTCTCATGCTTTAGTTTTCCAGTGTAAACCACCTGGAAAAAAAAAAGCAGAACTGGTGTTGCCTTTGAACTGTGAGATGCTAACCAGCTTTATGTAAGGCAGGAAGCAGTGGCTGCAAGTCCACACAAAAGCAGAAGTGACAAAGCACTTACTGGTTCCTGAAATGCTTCAGAACAGATCTGCAATCTGTTGCTACAACTCAGCAAAGCTCTGCTGAACACTTTGCACAATTTGATTCTGTAATATCTTCAGGGTCATTATAAATGCAACTGTATCAAATCAACAAGCCCATAAAGAGATTTCAAAGATTAAATTTCAACTTGATCTTTGACCACCAAAGTCGAATCAGTTCGTCATTGAGTCCAAGTGAACATTTGTGCTAAATTTGAAGGGATTCCTTGCATTCACAAGGCCAAAACTGCATTTTTTGAGGTCACCGTGACCTTGACCTTTGACCACCAAAATGTAATCACGTCACCCTTTAGTCCAGGTGAACATTTTTGAAATTAGAAATTAGAAATTCCCTCATAGTGTTACAGAGATATTGCATTCACAAGGCCAAAACTGTGTTATGAGTCACCACGCCCTTGACAGCTGACCTTTGATCCCCAAAATCGAATCAGTTCATCTTTGAGTCCGAGTGAATGTTTGTGCTAAATTTGAAGCAGGTCCGTCGAGGTGCTATTGAGATATTCTGTCCACGAGAATGGGACAGACGGACGGAAACCCGAAAACAATCAACATTTGACATCATTGCTTGGAAAAATGGCTTAAACAATTATTCAATTATCAAAGTAGCTGCAGATTATTGATCAACTAACTGATGGATTAATAAACTAATTGTTGCAGCTCTAAAGCCTAACAACACAACTGTACCTGCCATGGATTTCATGTGCAAAAAGTCCAAGACTGCACTACACATTCCTAGCATGTATTAGCTGACTGATTTTGTGTAGTGGGATTATATTGGTGCATAATATTATATAAATATTATGCAGGACTGATTTAAACAAGCATTCTAATCAGCAAATGTTCATCACCCATTATGTTTTGCTAAAGTACAAATCCCTTGCATCATTCAGGTTTTATATAACTGTATGGTGCAACTGATCAACGGTGCAATCTCATGTGAACAGCGCTGCACTGTTTCTTGACTGAACAAACCACAGACATCAGTTAATCCATTTTTAATAGATTATACAATCAAAAATAGGGAAACAGGAGTTAATTTGAAAGATAACTGTTCGTAACTCAAGATTTCAAATACTATTCCAGATGTTATCAAACCCAGTGTCACAGTCATTTCCCTCCTTTTTGCACAAAAATGGCAATAACTCATCTGAGCATCAGTCCAGAGCTGATGGCCATTATCAACACGGAATACTCTTTAGCATTGACTGCTTGATGGTGATGTATGTTAATGGGACTGGGCTGGTTATTGTAGTGTGTTCACAGTTTATATCTCAGAATTATTCAAGTAAAATGACTGACTTGGAAGAATTCTTTAAGCAAGCATGATTTTCTCCTGAAATTAACACTGTGGCAATTTCAACACACATAATACTCCATGCCCTTTAATTTCTTTGTTGTTCCTTCCCATGATTTCTTTCGAGTGCCATGGGTATTGCATAAGACATTAACTGCCACGTAATAATAGTATCAAGAGACACTATGTCATTCCCCGTGAATAAATATGGGTACTGTACTGGACTAAGTTGTAAGAGAATCTGGAAAATTACCTGGACACATGGCTTATTAACATTATCAGTATAAGTGTTATTTTAATGCATGGATTTATAAACAAAAGTAGAACCCAAGTTTTGCAGGATAAAAAAAAGAACGGAAATTTGAACATAAGCTTTTTCTCAATAAAAATAATTTCAACATTAGTAATCACTTCCTTTAAAAAAAAAAATTACATTAAATTTGCATTTACATACAAAATGAAAATATCAAGTAAAATATGTAACAACCCACTGCACAGTGACAGGGGAGAAAAACAACAGCGGTTGGCCAACAGATTACCTGGGTTGTATAGATGCCATTTTTGCTGAGGCACCTTCATATATCATCCATAAGAATTGTCAAGGAGCTAACTGTTTTGCATATTGATTGTTATGTTAAATAACTGCATAAATAAATCAACTCTGAATCAACGCTATAGAAAAAAAATGTACCAAATATAAACCAACATTTCATTATAGCAGATCATTTTCAACTTTAGTTTACATGCCTCTGAGGGTCTGAAGAAATACACACTCAACACCATTCCCTCAGGTCACGTTGAGATGTTAGAGAATATTCTCATGAGAAGAGACTGCAAAATGAAAATGTTAAGCCAAACTGAAACATCACATATTTTAAGGTCTCTGGGTTAAGGCGCAGAAAAGCTCTTTTATGTGTTTCTTACATTAGAGGACACTTGTAATACAATGAGAACAGAGGAGACAAGACGTACCTTTTTAGTTTTGAAAAAACATGTAGTGCATTCACTCTCTCTACATAGACTCTCTTCTTTTATATGTTTATATTTAACAACTGTAATTCATTATACTGAAATCTACCAAAGTGCTTGATGCATAATTTGTATTCGACGTAGAATGTAATTTGTCATTCCCTCTGTTGGTTATTTCCATGTTAGTCTTCGAGTAAAGACATAATTTTGTTAGGCATCATTCATTCATTTGCAGTTATAAATAACCTCAAGTTAGAGAATTTTTAGATTAAAGCAAGTAGCAATATAGGTGAAATTTAACTTAATATTAAAAGAAGGCATCAAATAGAAATAAGACCTTGCATAAGAATGCACCTCTTGAGAGACCATGACAATCATTTGAATTGGCTCACTCTTAATTAGCATAGTTCTGTAGTGTACAATCACACCAAGAATGCAGATGCAATTTCTTATCACTAACAAAGCCCACGTTGGTTTAAATGCATGCAACCGTTTATCTTCTAAAACCAGAGGGTAAACCAACTCTTTAAAGTCATATCACATTGATGTCAGCTACTTCTCCGTTAACATTAAAAGTTGATTTTGTTTTTAGAACCTGTCTTCAAAAATTAAATGTTTTTCTTTTTACCTGACACAATCTATTTAGAGCAGGAAACCAAATTCTTATTTAAAAATGCCACAGCCCCACAGCCCCCCCCCCCCGTTTCATTTCTCAAATTAATTTTCTAAGGAACTTTACATCAGTATGATACTGCAGGCTAAACAATATAGTTTCCATCACTGACTTTTTTTTCATCATTTGGAAAAGTAAAACAAACGTTCACTGATGTAGATGAAGCTTTGTGCTTAAGAAGAGCTGAAAGGGGAAGGTTTTTTAAAGAACACAAGTACATCTTAATACTTGTTAGCAGTTGGTGGACTTGACTTCATTTGACAGTTGTGAATTAAATCAACTGTTGTGTGACGTTTAGAAATGCACTTGTAGTAACCTTCTCTATCACGTCCCCTGACCTTGTGAAAACCATGCAGGAATGAATCCCATAAAAAATGAATTAAAACACTGCATACAGCAAATGTCACTAACGGCATTACTATATAATTGCAAGTTTGAGATATAAGCTTATTATTATTAATTTTTTTTGAAAATTGTAATATGATAATTTTGGGGGGATGTTACCAAAGCCAAATTTCCAACTGTTTGTCCACTTATAAAATCACTTTTTCTTTTTTTTTTTTTTACATTGTTTTTCATGTGTTACATAAACAATGTATACTACAGCCCATTCTCTGGTTGCACTCTTTTAAAAATCCTTAAAATAGGACCAGAATCACACAATGTCCTCATCAAGGAGATCCTGTCCTCGTCTCATCAGTGTTTTTCTTTAAATTTGTTGGTCTGTGTAATGACATGAACACCAGTAGGCTGTGGGTGAAAAAAGTCCTAAGTTGTTGACATGAAAATATCTTCATGAAAGTGCCAAATGATTCCATTCAGTTAGTACATAGCAGTCACAGACTTTAAGTGGGCTGGGACGTATTAACCAACTATCTTCCGCACAATATAGTAACAAGGAAATAAATTCATGTTATACAAAAGAAACTCTGTGGCTTGGTGTGCATAGCATATATACTGAAGGCATGACTCTCTCTGCTTTACAGCAGGCTTTAGTGTCATATACTGTTAGTTATATCTTGGGTCTCCACCCATTTATGAACTGCATGAGTTTCTTCACCTGCAGTTTGCTTAGCTTGAAGTCTTCAGACAAAATCTCCTCAGTGAGCTGCAACAGTAAATTCCCATCAATCTTCTCAGAGACAAAGAGAGAAACAATGTCATCTGGCAGGCCAATAAATCTTAGAGATTTGGACACCTCTTCAATAGAAAGGCCAGCCAGACTGGATGGGGGCTGCCACTGTGCAGTCGGAGAGAAGGATGGACAGTTAAGAGTTAATGAGTTAGAGATGGAATAAATCTCTTTGGTGCTCTGCTCAGGCTGAGTAAGTGAACAATTTGGAGTCTCCTGCTCACTGTCACAGAGTAAGTCTGTGCACTTTTTTATGGCATTAGATTTTGGCGTTCTCGGGGGTAAGATGGGGCAAGAGAGGCTCTGCTTAGTGTTAGATTCTTCTATTGGCTTGTCTCTGTACATCTCTGAATTGTAGCTTGAAGATTTTGTGCAGAACTGATTCAGAGAAGCATTCTGCAACCTGAAGTCATTACTGCTCTGTGCATGCTCTCGGCCATCAAAGTCAACAAGGCTTGATGTGCAGGTTTTCGGGGTGCTCGGGGATCTCTTTCTTGGGTAACTGTAGTAACTCCGACAGCTGGCTGGTAGAAATTCCTCCATGCAGTGTGATTCTCCTCCACTGAAGTTATTTGGCCAAGACAACCTCGAGGACATCCCATCTGATGGCAGGCTACCACTGGGCAGAGAAGCACTTGGCTCAGTGCTGTTGGATTTACCCCAGGTACAGGGGTAGCACACACGGCTTGGCTCTTGTGGGTCGGGTGCTTCTTTTTCACATGCTCCACTACTGTTGGAAAAACATAATATTGTTTAGTGGTAGAGAAGCAAACTTCCTGCAGACCTCATCATATGATTTAAATATTTAATAATGAAGTAACACATGACTTACTTTACAGCTTTTGAAGAATGAAGGTGAATAAAAGATTAAGGGCAAAGGAGAAACTTCAATGTGCAGATGCTATTACTTTTTATCTGCACTCAAATCTATCATGAAAGACTGTACAGATTAAATATTTAAGGGACACCACGAACTTTACATAAGACATTTCTAGGTGGATTTCAGAGGGCAGTTGAGGGGAGTAAGAAAAAATAGATGGAGAAAATGGTTACCAAGGACTAAGACATATCAACATACTGTAAATAAGCCTTTGACATTAGAATAATACTGTGAGTATATGCAGCATCACTTTCGTGCCCTGATTTCCCCTTTGTTATTGTAATTAGGTATAATTGTTGTCACAGGTGTGCTATGAAATGCTTCCTGTTCTTACATGTTGTGGAGACCAGAAGAATAATAGGAGAGGGTTGGACTTGGAGACCGAGTCTCTTGCTGACGTGGCTTTGACAGGATGGGCACCGATGGCATCTGTTTCAAACTTCGAGGAGGGATTGGTGGGGCGTTCAAAAGACGACATTCTTCCTTCACCTAGAAAGGAAATGACCTGATTTTAAAACTGACAGCAAAACTAACATGTAACATGTTAGTTTTCATTATAATAGTATATAATAGTATATAATAGTATATAATAGTATAATAGTTTTATTGGTAAAGGCAGTGCCTGCCATTTTTGCACAGGATTCAGACTGCCTATCTAAGCATGAGGGATTCACATGAAAACAATAAATGCATGACATCCAGTGCAATTGTACCTCATTCATGACAGCCTCACTGTTAACTTGTAACTCTCTTTACAGCATGTCAGAGCTGTATTACGTTACAGTCAGAACAACCTACTGCTGTTGCTTCACATTAAAAGTGTTCAACTGGTGAAACATGGGGTGACTTTTATTGTGACACAGCTACAGAAAACGCAACATATTTTTCACCATGGCTAAAACCCACTGAGCATTCATCAAAAAAACACTATAGATATTTTCTTCATCTTTTGTCAGGTGAGTAGTGGAACAAGAGGGAGCAGCTGCAGTGAGCTGTTTGATGCAGCGCTGCAGCCAACAGGCTCCATATCTCCAACTCTACAGCAGGTAACCAGCTCTACTGTGGCCTGCTGTTGTGTGGAAAACTACGTACACTATATGTAATAGGAAATCAGATCCAATTGCAATTATTATTGACTGACTTTAAACTCTCGTTGTTATGAGAGTTTGTTTATTTGCACTGTAAACTGATACATCAGTTGTTGCTGTTGTATTTCTGAGATAGTAGTTGTCAGAGAAGCTGTAGCTGCTTAAGGAGTGTTTGGTGTAAGCACAGTAACCACAGGTGCCAAATCAACCACGACTGAAACCTTAAGGATTACAACTTTAAGAATAATGGGTAATACTCACAGCTTCAGACTTGGGTGGGACCGGTGGTGGCGTAAGAGAGACATCCGAACTGGTTACTGCCCCAAGAGGACAAGTGACTGGGTATGATAGGGCTGCTGTTGTGCCACAGCCGTTGTTGATGCCTCGAATGACCTCACTTAAAGAAGGTTTTGAAATCTGGCCTCTCAAGTGATCCAACCACAGCTCCTCATAGGGAACATCCGACTTGTTGAGGGATGTTTGTTGGCTTGTACTGTCCAGCAGCTCAGGGAAAAAGTGTTCATTTTCTCCTGAGTCTGAAGCAATGCTATCAGATGGCAGAAGAGCCCAATCTCCACATAGTGTCATACATCCCTGCAAGTTGACCTCACTGTTACCATGCAGGTTGCTGCCGTACACACACACAGAGAGTCGGTGGAAGGACTGGGTGAGTTCATCGCGGGCGTAGGTTAAAGAGCTGGGAATCTGCATGTGGCTTGAACACCCGTTGGAGCTGCTGCTGCCTCCGCTGCTTCCACTGCAACTACCATTCCCGCTACTTCTCTTAGGGCTCTTTCCATCATCGTTCCAGTCTGTCCGCACATCGCGGACGGCACGAGAATAGTCGTCTATGTCAAACTGCTCTTGGCAGAAGGTGAACCACCGATGTACCATAGTGTCTAGCCACAGCTCCCCTTGCAGCAGTTCCTCTGGAATAATAAATCTAGGCATGGCCATGTGAAAGGGAAAATGGATGGGGATAATTTTGTTACTTCGTAGAATGCAGCACACAACCACTGTCTTCGTCTGAATGTTGACCAACTTATAGCGATGACCCTCACGGATGAGGTGGAGGTCATACTGGTTGCGGGGTGGACTGCTGGGTACTGTGACATTGACTGGGAGGCGGGTTTTCTCCACAATGTTCCTGATGGTGTGCTCGCCGTCCTGCATCTGAAGCTCCAGAGGACTACATGTGCTGAACCTGCCTTTACACTGGAAAGGCAGGCTGATGCTCTCATTGGTGCGATGGTTCATGCAGATCAAACAAGGCATCTTGCCTCGACCAATCTTACTGATGGAGTTCAGCTTCCCGATCTTCTTAAATATTGTGTTGAATCTTGATTTCTCTTTGGAGGTCTTGGCATAGAGGATCTCGGCCTGGCCCATTAATGTCAGTTCATCACCGGTGCTTAGTGTAATGTTGTAAACTTCTGTGTCTTCATTGCATTCCCCTGAAGCCATCTGTGCAAAGAGGACATGGAAAAGGACAAACCATGAGGCTGGTACATCAACAGTGTGAAAAGAGGTTCAAACTAAAAAGTGACCAACAAAGACAGCATGGAAGGATATATTTTAATGGTGTGCTGGCTTAAGTAGCAGTAAGTAGGCTGGTTTGAACTTGCTTTGTGGGGCTCACAAAATTGAGCTCCACAACATAGGTTTAACCCAGCCTACTCAAAAAAACTCTTCTTACAAGTCTTAACAGGAAGATTTCTGATCTTAACTGGAAATCTTACTTATGGAATACCCCTGATGTCAGAGTTGTAGAAGTGTTAATAATATGTTATATGGCATAGCTATGATATGCTATAAACAGTCAGAAAGCAATAATAATGAACCCTTTAACAGATAAAATATACCTTCACATTGAATGTGATTTCCTCCATGACATATACTCTTTCAGGGAATGCTTTGGCCACCTCCTCCACACTGTTGAAGTACTGCACAGGCTCTTTGACATCTCTGTCCTGCTCCAGTAGCTTAAACTGACCTTAAGAAGGAAAGTGCATACCAACGACAAGGTCAAGCAAGCATTGAACCATCATTAAATGGTCTGTAGTGCCAAATTTCAGCAACCCACATCCTCCATTGCATTGTCAGGATTTGAGAGTTTGGGGATTTGCTGTGCATTAACCTCATTAACCTTTTTGCATTTTGAATATAAACAGAGATACCTTATCAAGGACAATATCAGGCAAACTTTAGAAGCATGTATGTAAACGTAGCTCACCTTCGTAGTGTACTGGGATCTCTATTTTGGGCCCAATGACGTAGTGTCCCTCCTCCAGACTGTGAGCAGTAATAGTCGTCCACTGACGGCAGGAATGAATCAAGAGGTAGTCATTGTCTCTAAGCCCTTCAACCAACTGACCTGCAGGAACAAAAACAATTAAACCATTCACAAAGCGAAGCACTGATAGCAGATTATATCTTACAACTCAGGAAATACTATACCACTGCTCGATAGTACAGTAGATATCAGAATATCAAATGCAAAGTAAATTTACCAAACCTTCAGAATAACTTCTTGATATATGTTGCCATTTTTGCACATTTTAAGTCTTGAAGACATGAAGCATTAATAACTGTCAAGTTATGTGAAATATCATCAACATAACACTTGAAAAAGCAAACTAATGTTGATCGTGATTGATATTAACAGCAAGTATGGTATCTCAGGCAGACTGTGTTATGCTTGGAGTGGGTAACAGCGGCACTGAAATGAACCCTGATGACCATGGTGATTAGCCCGAACAATTAAACATCATCAGTCAGGAAAACCATAGTGACTGTTTCCTTGTTTGTGTCACTTTTGAGCCTCACAGGATGCTCCACTCAAACCAAAGTATTTGTTTACAACACTCAAGTCACTATTCTCCCCAGTTTATGCCCTTATCTATACCTATCCAAAACTAAAACACTACAATTTAAAAGCACAGTACATCACCATAATTCAGCATAGGAGGCTTAGCAGAGTATGACAGAAGTTGGGGCCATGAAGAACAAAATAATAATTACTGCTGCTATCATAATGGCTTAATTACTCAGCATGACCCCATGTTACAGTGATCTATAGTTCTGTTTCAGGTTCATCGTCATGTAACATTAAACACATCTTCCTCTGTACCAAGAATGAGGTACAAGAATGAGATTTTCACACAGTTGATAATCTGGTTATCTGATTAGGGCTGTAACTCGACGTGCAACAACTGTCTTTCACAATGTTATATTACGCAGAACATATACTTTAATAACAGTAGTCACCGTGTTGCGAAATTCAAAAGTCATTTGATGGCTTTATATGTTGTCCCTAACATTTCGTACCTTTGCTACCATGACAATAGTTGTTTTTAAATCAACGTACCGGTTTTAATTACACAGCTACAGCGTGACAGCGGAGAGTTACATGACATACAGAAAATAACACTGACACCAGCTTTTTTTCCCACGTAAACATGACGATTTTGTTGGGAAACAGTTCAGACACGATGAGAAAATTCAACCGAGTTTGTCTGACTGCTAACTAGCTGCTAGCTACCGCTGTGCTGTAGGTTGAAAACTTGGCAGTGTCAAAAAGTTACTAACCGTTGTCCAGCTTGGCAATTTGAGGCAGCCTATAAGCACTGACCAGTTGATCTAATGGCAAGGACGTCGTGCTCCATGTAACATCTTTTAAATTGTTGTACAACATTGTTCCAAGGTCCATTTTGCTAGCTTACATTAGCCAAAAGGGAGAGCTAACTTAGCTGTGTGTAAACACGGTCACAAAACGCTACACTAAGCTAACCAGCTTCACAACATATAAACTCTCCATCTACAGCTTCACGTTTGGCACGTTTCTTATTGACTGTCGCATATTCCCCTTTTCACCTGCCTACGATCATTAAGATCTGTAGTCTGATAATGCAGCAGAGCCATGTTTGTTTAGCTAGCGACGATTGCATCAAGGCAAGTTAGCCACATGAACAACGGAAACACGTAATTTGCTCTTTTAAAATAAGAGTTTAATTTATTTATGGATACACAAGAGATGTTAGGGTTAACAACAGAAAAAAAAACATGTTATAGTTCTTGGTGAGTGTATGGTATTTGCTAATGGGAGATCAGTGCTAGTATCTTCTGGAAATTTTGTGTTGTAAAGTTTGGCACTGATCCTGAAAACTAAAAGACAAGAGGGCAGAATAAAGATAGCCCCTTCCAAAATAAAACACCACCTGCTGCTCCAGTTGTAAGGCCTGTAAATCAACTTCATCTATCTATCTATCTATCTATCTATCTATCTATCTATCTATCTATCTATCTATCTATCTATCATTTATAAACTGTTATAGGAGAGAAAATTGTTTATTATTCATTTCTATTTAAACACACAAACCCACGCATCCACACATACACACTGAATTGCTACACAGCTGCCCAAAAATCACATGGGGAGAAAAAGAACAATCATTGGGCCTTGAATCTTGGTGGTGTGATGGAGATGTAAATTTACCAACAATGACAGTCATCACACTTCCTGATCTCGCTGGTACAAATCAGAGGAGCTTCCTTAATCTGGTCTGTAGTTGACTGTTGTACTCCTAACCAGCGGCTATGTCTTTTGTGGACACTCTGCGCCAGTGGGATGAGGCTGTCACCTATGCTGAGAGACAGGATTTTCAAGAAGCACTCAGGATTTTCCTGTCAATCCAGGAACCAAACTCCAAAATTTGTTTTGACATAGGCTGTCTCCATCTTCTTAACCAAGAGCTGGATGCTGCAGAAAAGGTACATCTGACCTTTGTTGGAAAAAATGCAGACTAAAATATTACACACAATTACTTTTTATATTTATGATGTAATATTGCTTATCAAAGAGTAAAATCTTGTTTGTGTGTCACTGATAAGACTGAAATGCTGAGATATTTTAGTGTCTCAAAGTGCAAGTCATTGAGAAAGAAGAAGTAGAGTTTACAGTTTCTCTTTTCTTCATGAGGAAGTCACAGTGTTCTCTTGGTTTCCTCAGGCGTTTGATTGCAGCATACGCAAGGATGAGCATTTGGCTGTTGCTTTCTTTCAAAGAGGAATCACCTTTTACAGAAAAAAGAGGCAAGAAGCACCATTCATCATGTCCACATTCATTTTTATATTTAACAGTGATTTCTACTTTGTAATAGACACAATTTGCTTTTGTTATCACTAAGTTTTATCCCTAATCATTTGACATAACATTTTTTTTTTACTTTTCTTTATTTTTGTGTTTGTATTTTTTTGTGGTTCATTATATGCAAAAGTAAATAACTGGATTATGCCTGTCCAAAGGTATGAGGAGAGCTTAGGTGATTTCCAGCAGGCCTTCAAAGCACTAAGAGGCAACCAGCTGATAGATTACAAAGCACTTGGCCTCAGATGCAAATTATATGCATGTGATGTAAGTATTTAAAAGTGCCCAATCATTTTCATATGTTGTTGTTATATATGTAATTTAAAAATTAATAAATTAGGGGAGACTGGGGACAGTTGCAACCCTTTTTGCATTTCTCTATTACTCTGAAAGTATTTGGACTAAACCAACCAAATTGACAACTTACATATTGAATGTGCATCCGTCTGCTAATTACCCATACCATTTAAAGATGATTACATATGACATATCATTCACAGTGTTTATTTGAATGGAAGAATTTAAATGTTACAACTGACCCCAACCCTGGGGATGGTTGCAACATGTTAAAAATGCATTCAATTTCACTAATTAACCTTTGCTTTTGGTCTCAAAAAGTACAGTATTCTGAACTATGCATTGGTTTACAATAACATTATAGTATTACTTACTTTATTTGATAATATTTATCAAAGAACAGTTATTGAGTTTTGTTTTGCATAGAACATAGGCATACCTTGAGTCAAAATAGGCACAATCTATTTATTTTATTGCTTATGATAAAACAGAACAGGTAATTATATTATTTATATTATAAGACCGTTGCTTACAGAGGCTAACAAAATAATTCCAACCGTCCCTTGCTGCCATCCCTAGTCTCTCTACTTAAGACTATTCTTCTGTATTCTGTGCATTACTGTCAAACAGTTCAAAGACGTTAATTCTGAACACTCTTTGTTTAATCTGCATTAATGACTAATGATTCAACAGTTTGTCTGTTTTTATTTGGCTATGTTGCAAAGTACAACATATTCACTAATTTCCAATATTTAAAAAAAAATGAATAAATGGAATCATGAATCCTAATAACAGAGGTTTAGATGTTATGTTTGATTCTGTGGTCTCCAAAGGCTTGAGGGATCAAAATAGTGACAAGTTTCTAATGCATTATCAACGTTTCCTGCCACAGGTTCTCCACAACATGGCCCTGGCTGAGGCTCAGCTGGGCAAGTGGGAAAAGGCCCAGGAAAACCTTGTGAAAGCTCTCAACTACAAGACAGAGGCCAAGCTCAATATCATTGACAGAGCTCTGCAGTCAACCCTGGTTAGTTTTATATGTGGTCACTGTTATCAAGATGCCATGAAAAAAAAAATTGTGATTTCACCAATATATAACAATTCAGTTATTTAATATGTTTAAATGTGATTATATTCATGACAAGAAATTGTGAGTATTTATTTATTTATTAAGAGTGGATAAAGGCATATATTAGCCAAGTGTATTTGAAAGTGAAAATACATACATCAGCTTAAGGCTCCTAAAACCAGAGAAGGATCAAGGATAAGGCATGGACTGTTACTGTTGTACAGCTAAAAGTCATACTTTTGTTTATTATATATTCTTATTATATTATGTTTATATATTAATCCAAGACACACACACACACAAATAATATACTGTGAATATATAATTATTATTAATTGCATTTTGTATTAGCATTTTTGGAAATAGTATTTTGATGCTTTCACAATATAGTTTTTTCTCAAACTGTCATGCCAATAAAGCATCTTTGACTTGAATTGAATTGAATTAATATCCCTTGCAATTTCATCAACAGAAACAGAAACTTTTCAAACCAGTCGAGTTCCCCTCAAAAGAGCTATTTAAGCCAAATAAACACTATGTTGCTGAGCTGGAGAAGAAGGACTATCTGGGAAAAGCAAAGGTAGAACTTTATCTGATACCTTTGCATTACACAGATGTTACTAGATTATTCATTAGTGTGATATGAACTCATTCATACGGTAAAACACAACCTTATCATCATACTTTTTACTAAATTTGAGATAATATTTTGCAGTAAACCTGTAATAAAATTTCAAAGTGATAAACAGTAAATAACCTACTTTTTTATGTTATCTGCAGGTGGTCGCCTCTGTCGTTCCTCAGGATGAGTTCTCTGGGTTTGCTCCGTTACAGCCGCAGGTGACATGGGTTTGTCTTTGTCTCAATAGAAACAGCACAAAAAGAAATCTGCCCCGCACAGCAGCATATTATGTTAAATATGCCAAACAATATATAAAATTATTTTAAAAAACTTCAGATTATTCACAACCTTGATCAACTAGTAGGCTCCTGGTGACTACAATACAAGGATGTAACACAACATTATAAATGAATTAATAATATTAAATAAGCTCTTAACGTGATACTAGACTTTTTTTTAAAATAAGAAACTATTGCTGTGATGCTGTGATGCTGTGCTGCACCATGTTTGAGACGACTACATTTGAAACTGTCTCCAGCCTTGATACTGATTGGATGCTTTGTGTTTTTGTTTACATGTGACAGGTTGAAGATGGTCCTACTCGTCCAAAGGAACCTGAAGTCCTCAGGTAGAACAGTCTTACTAATATATTTTTAAAAAATAGGGTTGAGCAAATGTATGAATAATATGCTTCATAAGAGGAAAATGAATCACTGTGTAAATGAACTCAAGGGAACAGCAGGTTACAAATGCTTTACCACTTGTACAGCAGGTGCCTTTATACCATATGGACATCTTCTGTCTGCACAGGGCTTTGGAAGGAGAACCCCACACTGTCCTGTTTGAGTTTGTCCCTGAGACCAGTGATGAGTTGGCTGTAGTGCCGGGCAATATTGTGTTTGTACTGCAGAAGGGCGCTGACAACTGGGCATCTGTGATCTTCAATGAAAGAGTAAGACCACTAGATCCAGAATCTGCACATCTGCCACTGTGGACCATATGGAACTTGTTTTTTTCTTCTAATGAAATATGCATATAACCCATTATTCAATTAATTACCCTGTCACTTATAGAGGGGACTTGTTCCTTACAATTACCTGGAACGTTTGGAGATCTCATTGGCTTCTAAACAGAATGAGGTGAGGAATAAACTTCTTAGTTTTCAAAGTTTTCTTACTTTGCGTTAGTTTAAACACATTGTACAGCCATTACAGGAGTATGAATCATTTGTTTTTTTATGTAGCTTCTTAGTATGTGTTGAACCAATATAATCTTCCGTAGTCAAACATTTTGCAACTTTAAAAAGGTTTGTTAAATATATTATCAGGGGTCTTTTTTCTTTATTTTTAATAGTAATCTGAAGGTTTCTAAAACGACGTGATGAAATGTGGTATTTTTTCAAGTTTTGTAGTATGTTGCAGGTTACGAGGTTATTTATTTATTTATTTGTATTTTGAATGGCATTATTTGGATGGGAATAACCGTGGATAGGGAAAACGTACACCTCCCAGTCGAGAACCACCAACCAGACCTGAGAGAAAACAAGGTAAACAAGTCGACCAATCCCATACCTGTCTGTCAAAACACATGCTGTATCACAAGAGGACGTGTTTCTATTTGACCGAATACAAGAAAAAAACCCTTTTCTTCCATCTTCTGTATTTAAGGTTGTACTCCAAGAGATAACAGCAGTGAAGACACACAATGTAAGGTATGCTGGGTTAAATCCCTGATTTGTCCAGTCCTGCCTCTGATCCACAAAATTTACCAACCTTTTATTTGGGCAGCAATGAAGGGTGGATTTTTATCTCATTTCTGTAATAATCTGAGAATTGGTTCTTTCATCTTTGCCAGGAAGAAACTACTGACAATTCATATATTGTCAAAGTCCGGTTTACATTCACTTTTACAGTCAGGGTACCACCTGGATCTCCCTATGCCATACTGATTGAGAAAATCAGTAAGAAACTGAATCTCCCCTCTACTGCAATCACCTTGAGGTAGAGTGCACATTAGAAAATATCTTCCAGTTTGTTTGGTATATTGTGTTACTGCTGAGTACAAAATTCAGTCCTTTTTTTTTTAAATTTAGTTTAACCTCCGAGGCCAATGAACGAAGTGTGATCGATGCCAACACAGACATGGAAAGAGTGTGGAGTCATGTCAAGGATAGACACATCACCTTGTGGTGTAAAACCAAGGAGGTAAGAAGTGTGTATACCTTCCTCACAAAATACAGTGTTTCTGGTTGATACTGTAGTTTCCTAAAATGGGGGTCAAGGTGAGATCAAAATTCATTAATGGAACCTGCTTATAACTTACTATCTTCCTGATAAAAAGTCTTCAAGGGTTACCTGAGAATTTCCCTTTTTGTCAGGGAGAGAAACTAACATTTTGACTAATGAAAACTCCTGGTCCTGTAGTGGAATACAACAACTGTGGTACATCACTATAGCACAGGCAGACGTGATTACTTTTCAGGTTTTTTTTGGCATTTTTTATGCCTTTATTAGACAGTGACAGTGGAGACAGACAGGAAATGCAGGGAGAGAGTGGGGGAATGACATGCAGGCTTTTGAGCCCATGTGGTATGCGCCCCCTACTATCAGGTCACCCTAAATGGACATGATTTAATCAACACCAAAAAAACATTGTATGACTTAACTGTGACTGACAAAAGATCCTGATTGAATTCATTCTATACTGAGTATGTAACACCACATAGAGAATCATCTGCAAATGCATTGTAAGCTGGAAAAACCAGTGCAAACCAAGATCACTAGTTTCAGCTTATGTTATGATGAAACTAAGGAGAAAGGACTGTATGTGCCTGTTTTGTGGTTTTAGCAAACTGATGGAGAGCCACAAACCGAGATTCACTTGGTGGCACTTCATTCCTATGAGTCGTCAAACCCAGAGGATCTCAGTTTTCATGAAGGGGATACAATCACATTGCTCTCTAGAGGTGAGACTCGCTTCTTTCAGCCATATACATCCCAAATATTTAGAAATCCTGTGATTTGATCAATAAATGTCATTCTAATTCATAACTTCCATCTTTTTCTTTAGTGAACCAGGATTGGTTGGAAGGAAAATGTAAAGGGAATACTGGTATATTCCCTGCATCCTTTGTGGAAGAAGTTCCTGTGAATGGCCAGTAATTTAAAAGAGTGACCAAGGACAATTAAACAGTTCAGTCGACCACAGCTGTAAACTGGCCAGGTGCCCCTACCAAAGCCATTTTATTATCAACCAAAATTTTCAGTAATCAGGGTCTACAGGTTGTTACAGGTTGTAACTGTTGGACAAGATCATGAGCTACATTCTGTGATTCAGTGATGTGATAAAAACGGGTGATATCTGGAATTAGACTGTGAAACCATTTAATTACTTACAGCTTCCTGTAATTACAAGTATATACTGTACATTTGTAGTCGCAGGCTGTCATGGTTAAATTATTTGTTGAAGACCTTGTAGATTACTGGTAAATTTTCATGACGTTCCTTCCTCTTCATAGGCAATAGCTATGCCTCTTCTGCCCTCTACTGCCTTCACCACGGGTGTCTCTCCCAACTTCTGCTCTAAGCCACGCCAACTCCGTTCTGCCAGAAAAGATGCTGAAAACAGAAAGCAAAAACATGTCATTGTAATACAAGACAATTCTAAATGTCTACTTCTCTGTATTTATGCATAGTGTATTAAGATGCAAAATGTATGTGTTATTGTATGTGTGCAAAATTCTGCAATAAACTTGTGGATGTATGGAAAGTAAAGCAAACAATGTCTTAAATGGAGTATCTGAACTTTGTTACTGTTCCATACCAGCTGAGTTTGTGTTGGCGACCGTCAGCGTCTGGTTCCTGAGGACCACAGAAGAGCCATATGAGGACACTGCTGGCTCCATGCTCAACAGATTGTGGCTTCGCAGAGCTCCAGTGATTAAAGACATGTCAGTCTCATCTCCCTCCTCCTGCTGATCAGCCAAAGGCACATGACTCTGTCCACCTGGAGCAGGTTTGAGATTAAAAAAAGAAAAAGTTGGACATAGCAAAAAACAACTGATGATAAAAATATAAAGGCCAATATGTTTGGCCAATAAAGATATGTAACTGTGTGAAAATCACTGCAGTGGGGAGGAGGTTGTAAAAAAAGAAAGAAAAAGATCCTCCTCAGCATGATTGCTATAATTTTTTTGACCCTCCACTTCATACAACAGATCTTAAAATATAATACAATGTTGGTCCAACTCTCATTTTACCATTAATAACTAAAAGTGAAACAGCATAAAAAAAATGAAGATGGCTTAATGTAATTTAAAACATATAAAATACATTAATGGAATAACAACAGTAGTCACAGTGCAATCTATAAGCAGAATGAACAATTACCAAATTTCTGGCAAACAAAAAAAATATTATTGTTCTTCCCATTCTCTTACTTTGAATAAAGACAACATAAAAGACTGAACTAATATAACATTTAATCACTACATTAGATTACTATAAAGATCCACTTGTATTTGGTGTTTTTTTAAACTGACCCACTGCAAATATTGCAAATTCACATCCTTCAGCATAAATAAAAACACATAACCTTTCTTCTGACCTCCCCTCCCTAATTTTCATACAGTCCCTTAGCATAAAGTTGAGAAGAGCAGATTTAGGGATTTCTGACTTGAATAAATTTGAAACTAGCCTGGTAGGAGACGTCGAAAGTCTGTGACATATTCCTCTGACCACTCCCTGTTCTTGTTGCAGGCCACCTCCATCTCAAATGGCGTCACCACAGGTTTATAGAACTCACTTGAGTCCAGCAGTGAGTTCTCAGGACACGCTATTAACACAAAAATGTCAATTTCAAGAAAGTTGGCAAGTTTGGGCACGTTCAGTTTCCCCATGGCAAACATGTAGCTCTTCTTGCCAGCTCTGTGGATGGTCTCCTTCAGCTGCTGGATGATAGTGAGGTAGTCAGCCACCCCCAGAGTGCCGACCAGGATGCCAACCACATTGGCATCTTTGGCCCTTTCTATAGCGTAATATCGCTTCATCAGTGCACGGTTAATGCTCACGGACTCAGTCCTCCCCGTCATTGTGATGGGGTCAAAAGAGCAAAATGAGCAGCGATTCCAAGTCATCATGAAGTTTCTAAGAGCAGCTCCTTCCTGGCCAACATAGAACATACTGTAATCTGTTATGCTTGAACCACTTTTCAAGGAGAACTGCCTCCCAAACTGACAAATAACCTGCCGGTTGTCTTGTTCCGACTGACAGGTATCATCATGTTGTCGGATCCGGCCGTGACTGTAACACTGCTCCCCCTCGACAACAAGCTCTGAGGCAACAAGGTTTGGATACTCTGGAGACAGAAGTGTCACAAGATCATCTGTAAAAAGAAAACATGTTGTATTCAGTTACTGAAAGGGAAAGATGTGAAGTGATGTGCCACTGTTGGATTAGAGGATAGCTCTTTGGGATATCTTACTCATAGCGTGAACGTAGTTAACATCATAGAGGATGATGATGTGACTCTGTGAGTCAGGGTAGAGTTCTCTGAAGGTGGAGGCACATTTGTCCACATCCAACGGTCTTCTCTCAAACACATACATCAAGGGCAGTCTTTTAGAGGGGCTGAGGCAAGTTCTGCCATAGTGCACAATACAATCGGCTCCAACGTGTTCAGCAGCTACCTCGTCCACACAGCAACTGCTCGAGAGAATTCAATAAAAAATTATGAATGTACACAAAAATAGCGACACCTTCATTAAACAAATACACAAACCAAATAAAGCTTTTCACTCACAACCTGTTTGGTTAAAGGGGCTACTTGTAAGTTTTCTCTGCCGCCGAACATAGTTTCTTGCCAGGAGCAGGTGGTGGTGATTGTCTCCTCACAAGAGCTTCGGCCATTGTTGCATTTACAAGACAAGAGGTTGTAATACGCCCTCTGAGCAGTGCTACATCATCAGATAAGACTGGAGGACACAGTGAGTCGCTATGAGAAATTGCCTAGACGGGCCGGGGCTAGCTGGTTAGCGTGCTAACCTCAGTAGAAGAAAAGACGCAATAGAGACAGCAGTTAACATTTACGTTGTTTTCAAGTGGAGTAGACAGGTCTTTGTGATAAAATAATGACGTTTGATGCTGAGATCGCAACAATTTTTCTAGACTGGTGAGTAAACAGCTGTTAATGCTAATGCCGGCTATGTAGCAATACCAAAACTTACAAATAGCTCCTTGAAAGTCTTGAAAAAGAATCTGAAATATGTGCTTAAACATCAAAATAAAACTCATGGTGTGGGGGCAAAGGCTGGTACTTTATGACTTCAACAAGCCCCCATGCTAAGGCATATTATCACACATGCTAATGAATAAATAAATCAACAAAATAAAAATAAATCAAACTGCCAAAAGGTTAATATCCTCATTTATTAAAACACCTCACTTTACACGAAAAGTCCCAGCACTGATGGTGACGTGCATTATTATAACCGAGTAAGGGTTTTCTCAGGCAAGCCTGGTGTCTTACCTGCCATAGGATGTATCTCCTAAAATGAATGGCTTGGCATTACTGTGTCTCTCGATCTCTACTGCTATAGCAACTGAATCCACCAGCAGCTCATCAGGAAACTGCAGAGCAACCTGTGAACATTAACCAGTTCAGACAAATAAACTTCTCAAGCATTTTTTTTTTTTTTTTTTTTTTTGAGCTGCTTAGCTGACTGTCAGCTAATCAAAGACATTTTTTTTATCTATGTGGGAAACAATGGACTGAAATGTTTACATGACAAGTGAATAAAATTATGTCCTCACCTTCTGAAATTGATGCTGACTGATAAAGTCGCAGATCTTCTTAATCTGATACAACTCTTCAAGTTTTTCTGGAGGAGTATTTGTCTTCACTGTGACGTCAACTACACGCTGAATTACTGTTTCCGAGCTGCTGCTGAATGCATCAGCCATTATTGCATCAGGAACACTCAACAGTCCCTGCAAAGACACAACAAACTAGACTATAACCCACATTTATTGACGAGTTTTGAGGTTTCAACCGATTCATCAGAAATTTCTAGAAATTTTATTTATGAAAGCTAAAAAACGCGCAATTTCACTGTACATTCTCCTTCAAGACAGTATTAATAGACCAGGTCAAGGCTCAAAATCTGGACTTGATTAACAAGTTGAGTCCAGTAACTGTTTAAAAGGTAGTTCCAGATTTGTGAAACCCCTGGTCTTATGTGATGAGAGAAGACTTTTCTGTCCTCGAAATAGAATAAAAGGTTTCACAAATCTGAAGCTGTGTTTTGAAGTCTTTTGATTCTTTGGTATAATCTCGTCTAGATTTGACAAGTTTAAGTATAGTGGTTTTTGGTCTAGACCTGGTCTGATATTCATCATAGGATTAAAGCAGAGAAATTGTCATTTTTTAAGTTTTCACAAATCCATGTAATGTTTCACAATTCTGAAACTTTGTTTTAAACTGTATTTACACTCCCTGTGTTAACCTAGTCCACATTTGAGAAATTTTAAATTTTCTGGTTTTTGACCTGGTCTGATATGGTCTAGACGGAGTTTTACAAATCTAAAGGTGGCTTTTTTTTTTCTTTTCTTTTTTTTTTAACAGTTACCCCATTTGTCAACCAAGTACGTTTTCGTAATAACGGTTTCACAATTTTAAAGGTGGGTTTAAGACTGACTAAGATATCTAACACACTTCCACAAAAATAACATTAGTGTTGCAAAAAGCAGAAAATCGGTCGCTCAACCAGCCACTAGAATACACTGTCAATTGGAAGCTATACTATTTCCTACCAAATAACGACACATGTGGTAACACAACAGATAACAACGCTTACCTTCTACTCCTTTGCTCGGTCTGCTAGCTTAGCCGCTAGCTGAAATTACTCCAGAGGTCTTCGCGTAACAACTGAGTCAACACAAACTATTATTTACAACTTCTGACGGTTTGTACTCGTATTAGCATATACATGTATTCTTACAGGTCAGTGTGGTGTAGATATTTGTTGACTGGTAGACGCTTCTTTGACAGCAACACATGTGTCGAAGTATAACACAGCAGTACTAACACTTCCGAGTCAAGGTTTTTCAAAATAAAAGCCAGAGTAAACATGGCTCATGTCTGTTCATTTATGCTGGAATTATTCAGTTAGACAACTGACATTCCTCCTCTACTTTTCCCTGACAGCTACAAATTAACTCACATTTCCAGGTTACTGAGGTTACATTTATTTATTTTATTCAAATATCCAAAGTCCCTTTAAAACATATCTGAAACCACAAGATATAACGATAGATACAAGTAAAATATATGTGATAATTTAGTTACATAAATCCCTTCTGAGTTCCAGACATATATCTTATTTACAGCTTAATACATAAATAAAATATTTACACAATAAAAAAAAATTAACTTCAGCTTCAACTTTTCATTTACTCAAAAACAGGTGGAATAGTCTTACTTCCTTACTACTATTTCTCAGTTTATCATTCCTTCTGAAAATGAGGGTAAAATAATGAGATGGCAGCAGTAATTGCAAAGTCATATTCATCAATAAAATGCAATAAAATGAGGTCAGACGTGAAAGAGAATAGGTCTCTGAATGCTGATAGATTCAGAGGATGCACTGAACGTTCAAGTATTAAGACAGGTCATGTGACAGTCATAACCACAGTCTGTTTGCTTGGGTGAGGGACACGTCAAAACATTGTTTGACATGAATACTGGGCTTTCACAGGAACGCTCAGCAAATGTTTGGCACATGTTACTGTGTGCTGACAACTGCTCACATCCAAATACGGTAGAATCCCAGAACCACAGTAAGACAAGTGAACACTGAACCTAAAGGAGAAAAAAAGCCATTCATTAAGGTCATTCATTACTCTACTTATCAAAGTCTTATTCTTATTTTATTCATTACATCAAATGTTTGATCAACTTTTTTGACAAGTGTTGTCAAAATTAGCACTTAAACAAACCTTTTTAAATTAATAATGCTTTAATTTTTAAATTCCATGTATATATTCTGTATCTAACATGTATATAGGAAACCATGTTGCATTTTCAGCCTTTATGGCTACAGGTCCCCGAGCAAAAGACGCCACTTTAATATCTGAGTCTTCCCCACTACAATGACTCTGAACAATTACCATTAAAAAGTAATCGATTGATAGCCCAAGTTCTCAAGGCTATCACTGCTGATTAAATAATGCAAAAGTGTCAAGACGTACCTGCAAGATATTTTATAGTATCCAGTTTATGAGACTCTAACATGGTTTTCAAACCGGCCACTTCAGTGTCTATTTTCATGTTGGTCTGAGTCAAATGACGATCTTGCTCTGCAGTCTGTAAAAAACAGTCAGGTATCAAAGATAAGCCCAAACAAAGACCTACCGGATATTTATAACAGACGGGCACAAGCTTCTATCCTTGGCTGCACATAATGCAGAATACCATCAAATAAAAATTAGATGTCATAAGATGTAGGTGTACTGCACATATACAAACCATTTCCATAATTTCAGTTCGCGTTTCCAGAAGCTTCTTCTCATGCTCTGCTTTCTGAAAATAATACATAATGTTTTATTTATAAGAGGGGGATTTGAAGCATGACTTGTCAGGTTCATATTTTATTTATTAGTCCATCATCCCTTTAATCAGAAGGTTTGGGGGCTTATCATAATAAATTACTTCCACGCAGCTACAAGACTGCTGAAAGTGAAGTCAGCAGATCTCCACACACTCAGTTAATTCATTATTAAATTTCCTCAAACACTTACCAATTCCTTCACACGGCTTTTCTCCAAATTCATGTCCAAAATATTGTCTGAGCGCACTTTATTCATTATATCCTGCAAGGTGAAGACACACAAAGGAAATTCACAACAAACAACAAAGGAATGCTTCGAACAAAAAAGTGGGACATGAACTGATTTGAGTGAATCAGGTGAACCACTCACAGCCAGTTGAACCTTGAGCTGCAATAACTGGATCTTGAGTTTCTGGGAGAAATGTTGAAATATTGAAAGTCTTAATGAATCAAAAACAGATCAACAGACACAAGCACAAGGAAATGCTTACACAAACACACTGTACAGTCCACACAGTCAACATGTTCTGACTTTAGAAAAACATGACGTGCATTTAGTTTTGTCAAAATCAATTTAAGTACAACAGCAACAGCATAGGTGCAACCTACTCCTTGGGAAACCACGTACCTCATTCTCTGCAAGTAAAGTGGAGAACTCGCTCTTCTCAAGGATTATCATGTCCTTCTTTACAGCTGCTATTTGAGACATCACACGCTGCAGCATTATCTCCTGCCAAAGTCAGACAACACATAAAACCAAACAAACACATTCACATACAAGAGCTTAAAAAAAAAACTAGGTACCGCAAAGCAAAACATTCATCCGGACATAAAAAGACAAGTAAAACAAGGAGGACACTAAAAGTGAGTAAAACCCTATTTAACCAGCTATTCAACCAAAATGGACCAAAAATAATTTAAGGATTTCCAGGAAGTAACTAGCAGACTTTGGATATAAAAATACAGAAAATATATTTTGCTTTTATTGCAATGATATTGGTGATCCTGGTGAAACATGTTGTTTTTATATCAATGCATGTTAAAATAATGTCAGCTGAAAGCATATGTTCACATTTCTAACAACAGCCTTATTGAACAAGTGAAGTAATAATGACAGAGCAATGCTTTTTATTGTATTTACAGAAAATGTGAAATGCACAATATTAAACACAATCTCACCTGCTGCACTTTGGTTACCATGTCATTATAGATTACATCCATGTTAGAGTTGGTCATCCTCAGCAGTACCTTAACTATCACCTCGGCTTGCTGCGTTGTGAAACCTGTTAATGGAAAAAAAAGTTTATTAATGAAGAAAATTGACAGCGCTTGTTATTATCGACGGAGAGTAACACTGAAAATGTGTGAAGTGAGAAAAGAAGCCGAACCATTTTCTTCAAGGAGTCGTACCACCGCGTGTGTGTCAAAAAACAGCTTTCGGCCTTCACACTTCGGTACATCTGGTCTCAGATCATACTGGAACGCTCTGATGGAGGTGCTCAGCTCTGAAAGATGTGTTTACACATTACTATTTTCCTGTATTCATGTACCTTCTGTCAGCACCTGTGACATGAATAACAGGGTGTTTTTAATTACGCTTCATTACAGGTGTATATGTATGTATAGACATACAGTATTAATGGCCCTTGATAAACATGTTAATGTAAAGATATTTGAAAATAGTGTTTATAACTGTAAACAAAGCTGCTTTCTTTCATTTTCTCACATTCTTCTTATTGTCACAGACTTTAAATATTATCAGTATTTCACTATTTCACATTGGATATTGTGTTTTTATATTTTAGTGGATTACATATTTATTCAAAATAGCAATTTTCTTTTGGAGCATCATATTTATAACATGTAGCCTATAGGTTTTATTTGGTATTTTATATTACAAGACAACAATTGTAGGTTGTGTAGGCACACAAGCGCGCTGTTTTGTGCTGCATCTTTTACATTCTTTTTTCCTGTTTTTTTTCCCCCACACCATATACCCCATGTCAGTGGTTTTGCTACTGCATCAAACCAAAACACTGACATGAAAGGGTAATAACTATCTGAGGAACTGATCACATTGTCCATATGATGTCCATTATGACAACAATTAGGATAAGTGTGTGGATAATCGCAGGTTGAACCAAATTCACAAACGTAAACTTATGAAACATACTGTGTGTGTGTATATATATGGCTGTACGATATGCTAAAAAAAAATCGTATTGTGATTTTTTGGCAGATATTGTGATATGTGATTTCAGTTGTTTTTCATTTTCACTGAAAATTAAAAAAATGATGATGATGTGATTGTTGTTAGGTCTTGTACTAAGTAAATAAAAAATATATATACATATATAACAACACTATAAAGGTGACACACCTGCAAAATAGAGAGGCACTGCGGCATGTTATGTAAATACAATGTGGGATGGGGGCAGTGGTTTCTATTGAACACATGTAGCATCAGGGTCTGGCTTTAGAGATATCTAACACTGAGTTGGATAAGAAGAGCTGTAACTGCAGGACTTTCCAGTTTGTAATATTAAATTAATCTAGGCTGAGGTGTTCAGTGACTATCACTCAGAGTGGATAAGTAACAGCTCCACATTTGGCCCTTGTGACCATTATTATAATGAAGCTCACCTCTAACATTTAACTGTTCAGACAATAGCAGCAATGCTACGCCCTAAATTAGTTATGTGTGATCAGGCTTAACCTTTCAGTAGAGGTGACCTCAGCAGAGGTGAAGAGGACTCTTAATTTGACAGTCAAAGGAGATACTGTTCAGTCAGTGATCATAAAGTGCCTTTTAGTTTCTGCCACTAATGTAGGTCTCTGCATAATTTTCTTCAGCTACATACTGGGGCTATTATAGTTCACAAGCAGTGTGACGTTTGTCGCGGTGGGTAAGACACTAGTTACCTCTTACAGACATGCGTGTCACAGCAGAAAGATGCTTCAGTCCGGGGGCTCGTCTCGTTCCCCACGGCCTCTCAGAGCTGCAGGAAGGTTCAGCGATGACACACTGGAGACATGGTGATGTGATGACGGCTATCAGAGTCGACATGGTCGGGGGAAATCTCGATGCCGTTGGCACAAAACTGCCCACTTTGTCTTGATGGAGAGAAAGATCACACCACTTTTCTCTGTGGTTAAGAACAAACCGTTTAAGTCGAGGATGACACTGTTTCAGCACCATGGTCACAACTCGTATTCCTCCAGCAGCAGGTTGAAGTACGAAGCTGTCCTTCCGTCTGGGAACAGGTTCTGACAGCGCCTATCCAGGCTGCATTGCAACTTTTCACCTACTTCTACCATCAAGCTCAATAACGCAGGAAGCTCCCGGACGTCTGGTCTTGCTTTCAAAATAAATCCCGTTGTCACATTGTTTTGGGGTGGCAGCAGAAACCACACTGGCTGGGAGACATAAAACTGCTGCCAAATAAAACTGGAACTTTTACTAGATAAGGGACATATGTCGTTGTTGTTGTTGTTGTTGTAGAATGATCAGACCCTATAGAAAGCGATGATAATGCTATTCCCTGCAAACCTAGCAATGTTATCCTATAACAAGACTGACGTACAAGCTTTGCACCAAATGGTTAAACAGTAGTTAAGGTACGCTATGGCTAGGCCTACTCAAAGCTGTCATGCCACTCTTAAAAACAAAATGCAGTAAACTTTAGGCTGGATGACTATTTGATCACCCCTTGGTGTTACACACTATCTCTAAGACCTTTTGGCTTTTAGATTTCAGTGCTTTCAGTTGTAATTTTAGCATATACATTACATAGAACTTGCATAATAATATAATAAAAGCGCAGTAACTTGAGTTTTCAATCAAGTGTCTAAATGTATCTAATGGTTCCGTTTATATTTCTTCATCATAAATAAGTCTTATTCATTCATGCTCAGTTAAGTAACGTGCTATCATTATTTTAATTACATTGCTGTAATTATGTTGAATCAAATTATGTTTTTCTGATGATTGTGAAGTTATTTCTTGAGATGTATAAAAAAAAAATTTTAAAATTAGGTGAGATCACAATAAATTAATATTTGTATAATGATTTTAAAAGTTGATGATTAAATCAACATTGAAATGAAGATAAAGACTCCATAGGGAAATGGTTATGGTTACAGGTTACAGCCTGCAGATGGACACTGTGCTCTGTATGTTGTTCAGTTAAGGAGGGAGGGCTTAATGCTACAAGTTTTATTTACAGGCCACTAAGAATGACTGCTCAGTGTACCTTTAACCCTCTCATTACCTGGGATTATTGGGTTTGTTATATACTAGCTCACATACAAGCCTTACAGATTTTCACAGATTCTCTGCAGTTACCCATTCAGAAAGTACAATAATGATAGAATATGATAAAATTTGTAGTTTAATGCCATTTGAAGTCTGTACATTTCCTGTTGCATTGTATACACTGAATCAGTGATTTACTAAAGTGCTAATCAGTAAAAATGACTGAAAAACAACAGTGTCATATCAAAGTTGATACTTTTATAAGCATAACTACACCGTCAGGTCTCTACAGCACAGATTATATACACAATAACACTGAATCGAAAAAAAGTTTCAGTCATTGGAAGTGGATATTCTGCTTATTACAGTATATCAGCTACAAAGCATCAGCACCTATATCTTCTTCATGGCAACAAGGGAAAAAATGTGACAAGCATCTTTGACATTTCAGAAACTCTTCCTGTCATGTATCACAAACTAGTCAGGAGAACATACTGTACAGGAACTAAGGGAAATATAAGCTCTATCTTTTTACAGTTGAGTAGGTAAAATCAATCACCTGTCCCTAATTGTGATAATTATTTTACTTTATGAAATAATTTCTAACTGGCAACCACGTATTTTTATTGTCACTTTGTTCAACAAAGACTTAAAATATATGGCAGCTTTGGATTCACTGCAATAAATGGCAAACTGGTTTGCATCCAGATTTATTTCAGTGTATTTTTAGACAAATATCTTACACAAAAGTAGATCATTTAGCTGCTGTTACCAAATGTAACTTTATTTGGAAAGAGTATGTTAAGAAAAAGCTACTGTACTTGCTTGCTAGCTTGCCATTTTTTAACAGTGTTACTTAGCATCTTGCTGAGGTTTTACAGAAGAAATAAGTTGAGTGTATTAAGGTTTTGCTCATGAGAAGAAGACAACACAGACTGATAGAGTGGCTGCCAACAAAACAACAGCAAACAGCAGTAAGAGCACAAAGATGTGACTGCGCTGGCATAGAGGCTGGTGTCCAGGCTGCTCCTCATCAACGGAGAGCAGAGCCAGGGAGGCGCTGTCGGTGCTGCTGAGGGGGTCTGCATACTGCGGCCCGTGGGGCTCCACCATCCATCTCAACACGTTGACTTTCATCTCCATGTCGTCGATCATGTGGTCAATTTGGCTGATCTCCTTCTCCATGGTGTTGCGCTCCTGGCTCTCCAGGCAATCAGCGGGGGTTGGAGTCTGAGCCTGGTTCAGGTCTGGCAGGCTGAGCGCCCGAGCTGCTACCTCACTGCCTCCTCCTGCAATAACCAATATTAAAGTTGGTAAATTAGTCTGTGCAATACTTTCACTTTTCATCCAGTCAAACAGGGCTCAACTGGTGCTAATGTTGTTAAAGACTGATTCATAAACTGTTGCAAAAAACTTTAATTTTAAAGGCAGAAAATGAAGAAACAAAGAGACACCTAAAAATTCAAAATAAAAAAACTATTACATTCATCTATGTATTTACGCTGTACCAGAGTAGAGAAGAACATGTTTATAGTGAATGGATGACTCATCATTTACTCACTGCTCTCATATAATAATCTATACAGCTATGAAATGACATTGTATCCATGAGATAAAAGAAGGGTCTTTCTGCTACAGATGTAAATGCTGCTGGGAAACATAACCACAAAGTACAGGAGTAACAGAAAATGCAGCAAAGGTCCACAGAATAACATGAGTGAATTTTATGAACCTACTTTGTCAACTACAGTCACACTGTTGCAGTAGTTGGGCCCTAAGAAGGTTTTTACAGGTGAAACACATGATTTGGAGCTGCAAGATCAACCAACTACAGAGAGATAAATACTACTTGTCACAGTTATAGTACAGTTTGAAAGAGGGTAAATAATGTAGATCATTTCTGACAATCATTCATGACTCCCCACCTAGAGGACAATTGACACCAATGATTTAGGTCTCCTCAAAATGGGTTCCCAAGAGCAAGTTCAGTCTACCTACATACATGCTGTTGCTAAGATAAGACCTCAAATCCTGTTTAGTTTTGTTTTTGCTCTTTGATTGGCTGTGATGGACGAATGCTTTCAAAAATCAAAAATCCATGTAAGGCTTTGTCTGAAGATTATTTTAGTGAAGATTGGACAAGAATTTGACTCAAGAATTTGGATTTTAAGGCAAAGAGAAACAGTTATAAAGCAAATTGCAATTTTTCTAATTGCACCACCTCCCACAGATCGAAGGGCACCAGATTTCTTGAACCTCCTTCTGGTGGAGTCCCATGTCCAGTTTAGTTTTCATACATAAAAGCGTTGCGGAACTATGACCTCACTTCCTGTTTGGTGGCTTCACTGCAATTTGTGATTAGCTGTGACAAACAAACAATTTCGAAAATCAAAAATCCATGCTATAAATTTTGTGAGGCTTGGTCTGAAGATCAGCTGAGCCAGTTTTAGTGAAGGTTGGACAAAGTTTGTCAGAGGAGTAGCGAAGGCAGACTTTCAAAATCCAATGTGTCAGAAAATCCAATATCCGTTTAAATCAGCTTGAATCAATGAATCCAATGGTATCTAATTTGTGAAAATCAGGCATGCGGATCAAAAATTACATGTGTAAATGTGCCTCCAACTTTAACCTGTTGATGGAGCTAGCCGCTTGAGGTACTGACATGAAACTTGGTGAAAAGCATCATGGGATTGTCCCCAAATACAGTTCTAGGGGTTGCCATAAATTCTCATGGCAGGAGAAGTTTAAAGAACATGAATGAGAAAAGTTAGAAACACAATGGGGCTTTTCTGCTTGGCCTCCAACAAGAGTCCAATAAAACAATAAATCCTCCGTCATAATGGTAATAAAGTTCAGTTTGTGTTGAAACCATTTCAAAGATGCTGACTCAACTGGGTTGAATTGCATTAGACAGACATGTGTTTCTATTACTTTGTCCACTCCATATATCATGGCTAAATAGCAGGAACACCCCTATGCATAATTTAAAACAAAATCATAAAAGATCCACAAAATGCATGACATGTTTGATTTGCATATTTATGATGTCAGATGATCATTTGCATATCAGACGGTTTACATCACAATTGCTTCCAAAAACGTTATTTATCTCCTGTTACTGATATTAACCATCCTGACTTATAACCACTGAAGAAAACAAACTGCAGCCTGGTACATTTAATAATAGATAGTTTCATAATAGTTTTTTTTTTTTTTTTTTTCAATCTGGTTTTAAAATTTGCCTGATATTTTACTATACACTGCAACAAATGCCTACTCAGATGAGTGGTACTAGAAATGCCACATGAGATGTGCACAAAGCGATGTTGTGCTCCACTCACTGACAATGCCAGAGAGCAGAGAGGCAGCATCTCCACAATGCAACTGGTGGTGTCTGAGCAGAGCCACCAGTATCAGTCTTCACTTCATCAACACCAGAAAATACTGATGTTCAAGCCTAATCATTTAAAGCCAACTAACCGTCAAATGGTCAAAGATTAGCCTCTTATCTTGTAACTTCATTTCATACACTTTTAATTTAACTGTGACGACAGAGGAACAATTGTTTTGCAGTCAGTGTTTGTCCTGACATTAAACAGCTCCATTCATATGTATGAATGTGGCATGGGGGTAGGGGGGCATTAATGTCCATCTTGATACTCTATCATTTCAAACAATCAAGAAAAGAAATCACAATCCATCTCAAACCCAAACAATCTCTGAAAAGACTACGGATAATTGCAATTATTTTGTTGGTTATAGCTTAGTTATTGTTGTATTCATCTCTAAAATACAATTTTTTTTTTAGAAAGGTTTCCATATTGCCTGTTCTCCATGATTCACCACATGTGCTTGCCTTGGCTAATCAACCTCCTGAATTACAATTTGCATATGCACTAAAATGTGCAGGGCTGTCATTTACCTTGGAGGCCAGTTTGCACCAGGGCAGCAGTGTTGGCCGGAGAGAAGATGTCACCCATGTTGAAAACTTTACACATGTCGATGTGGAGGAGCTCTAGGCTGGAGGAGAAGGCCACCCAGAGGAGCTCCATCTCCTTACGCTGCTCCTCAGGCAGACTCTTGTCCCGCAGATGTGAGGTTAGATGTTGACAGATGGAAACTGACAACTTTTGGGCCTTTTCTCTGGTTTGCCGCAACTCATCCCGCAGCTGCAGGCTGTCGGTGCAGCCACCAACACATGAGGCCAAGTGCCGGTAACATGCCACCACCTGTACCAGGAACAAGAAATAAGGGCTTATGGAAAACATTGGCGGTGGAGTAACAGATCTGTACTTTTCCTCTGTAACTCAAAGGTTGTAAAGGGAATCTCCAGTTTGTCTTGCAGAGTTGTGGACACGCCGTTGCTGTCCACATCACTAGGACAAGTAGAGTAGACCACTAATCACTCTTTAAATGAGGTATTGTGCATCTTTTACCCGCCTGAGGAGCTATCCACTACTGACCACATCACCAAGACAAATTCATTCACAAATAATCAGTGCATCATGACAGAAATAAACACCATGTATTGATTTTGGACCGCTGAGAAAAAAAAATGTGATCAATGTCCATCTCTGTGCTCTAAAGCTGCATGAAACAGTAAGTGGGGAAAAATGTGGAAAAAGGAACAGTTATGGTTTCATGATCTCAATCATACAGCAATAGTGTTTTATTAATAGGCATAAGCTTAACCCTGGAGGATTAGCAGGTGGGGTTTCAATGAAAAAAATATTATGAATAATCTCATTATCATCGATCTATTTCTAGATAAGCCAAAACAACCTTGTGCACTCGGAGTAGCAGTGGCCCATTTTCAAGACGTGGAGAGGAGACGAGGGAACAGAACTAAAAGAAAACTAATAATGTGAATTCATACATATATATATTGTTTACTGTATGTGTTCATTCACATTTTTAGTTCTTTTTTAAAATATTTAAATATTGTATGTTAGTCGACAAAAACTGTTCTGACCTTTAGCACTGTTGCACTGTTTCACTTGTTTGTATTATTAATTTATTTAACCTTACATTATAGCTGTATTGTATATTCGCTCAAATTTTCAGTTTCTGTCATTTACAAGGATTTCTCTTTTGTTCTCCACGTGTGACAGTGCTGCAATGATGCTCAAGTATCTTCTGAGAAAGCAACTACATTCATTTAAAAATAAAAATACATTTCATGGTAAAAGTCAATAATTCTTAATAGGTTTTGCAGCCTGCAAACTCCCTGTACCGAGAGAAATATTGACTGTGACTGTCACTGTGCAAAATGTATTCTACACTATAAACTACATTAACAGACAAACAGTATAGTACATTTTAATTTAAACAACTATACAGTTGCTAGTAACTGGGGAGAAGAGGTAGACACGGTCATGGCATTATCTAGCACAGATGCGAGAACGATCACAAAGGTGCAGTGGACCAAGAAATTCTTTTTATTGAGAGTGCTTTTTTAGCCACAGGGGGGGAAAAAAAAAAAAAAGATGGTTCGATGTCTTGTGTACGTTTTAATTGGTGAAATGCATACATAAGAGTTTACTAGGAGAAAATGGTTGCAAAATATATTCAACTTTTTACACCTTTTGTAACCCTTCTAATTGAATACTGAACTGCCTTTTTGCAAATAATTCTATTTTTACAAATGTTTGCATATAAAATACAGTTGGAGATTGCTGCTGTGTAACTGTTTTCTGAAATTAGTGCATCAGTGTATCAGATGGAAACCCGCAGCTGCTTAAAAAAGTGTAAAATTCAGCAAAAACAATTGATTGTGATAAATGTAATAGCAGGATTATACCTCAGCATCCTTTATGTCTAAACAGTCTGAGCATAAATCAAAACTGGTAAAACAAGGAGAGGTTTACCTTTATCAAAGAATCCACCAGAGCTTTTCCATCAGCCAAAGCCTTGTCTGTGCCGACTGTGCAATCATCTCCCACTTTGTTATTTACAAGTGGCATGAGGATGACTTGTCCAGAGTCTCAGACTCTGCCACAGCAGGCAAGATTTTGGCCCAGCTGCTCTTCACTTCTCTGGCTGCCCCTGCTCCTTTCCTTCCCCTGGAAGATGCTTCATTCAGTGGCTGCGGGTCGACACAGACTCAGTCCCGAGGCCGCGTGATGCATTGCAATATTCCACTCCTGTAACTCAATTGCAATGACATGTGCTAACCATACTGTAGAGGCTGAACTACAAAGAGCGAGAAGTGGGAAAGTCAAAGTAATGAGGAAAAAAATGTAATAAACTGATGTAACGCCTAAGCAAGGTGCTAATCTTGTGATTGACCCCTTTGCACTGACGCAGACTAAGACGAACAGCTAATCTCATTAACTAACACTGAGACCAGAGATAGGACAGCAGCTGGCTGTCTACTACAATGGTCCTTTCACTGACTGGGGCGGAGGCTGCGCTCTGTTACCTCACGCACACCATGCTGGATACATCTCATTTCACTCAACTGTAGAAGTCAATATGCGACATAATAAATATTTCAAAAGCATGGTGGATACATTATCCTCATATTTTCTATAGAAGTAAAATATTTCACTGACAGTATAAAGATGAACTAATAAGCAGAAAAGAGAGTGAATACTGATGCACTTAAAAGGGAGTGAAAGCTGGACATGGTTTCTTTCCATCAGGGCCCTTTTGTGGTTTACTTTCCTTCAGGCTCTGGATAATGGCTGTCCTCATTTGACCAGGCTGATAAAAAGGTTGAGTGTGTACCAAGCATGAATTCCCTAGCGTGATGTTTCTATAACAGAGTATGTATGCATGTATACCAGCTTTTTATCTGCAAAAAGCTCACCTCAGAAAAGAGAAACCATATGCGCGTGAGCTGTGACCGTGAAATAACATCATGCAATGGAGCTGAGAATCGAGGGCAAAATTGAGATGAGTCAATTAAGATAAGAGCCTTCATGCCTCGAAGTCTGAGCAATTACATTTTTATTAAAAACAAACGTTTAGAAAAAAAAAAAAATACGACCACAGGAAACACACACTACTTAAATAAAAGAATAAATGAGAGTCACTCTTGCTGTCTCTCTGGAGTTATTAGGATTTCTTTTCCAGGTACCCTAAACCTGTCCATGAGACATTTTTAAAAACCTTTTCAGTGGTGCGCAGTCCGGGTAGTTTTCCTCAGTGTTCGGCCACTTGCCCCCTTCCGTGGAGAAGTGACCGCCTCCCTGATGTTGGCGAGCAGGCCTCGCTTGGTCTTTGGCCGCTCAGGGGACTTCTGGGAGAGCTTGGCAAGTTCTGCCTTTAGTGAGGCAATCTCCCTGTCCTTCTCAACATTCTGCCGGAGGACGCCCTCCATAGATCTCATCTTGATGGGGAAAAAATAAAACTTTCAAAAGACAAACAATTTCCATCTTTTTGGGGACATGTCAAAAAGCTCACATTTTCATTATTTACACACTGCCCTCAGACCGCCATCCCACTTTTGACCTCACCTGGTCATCAGACTTCCTGTGCAGAGCATCCAGATCAGCTGATTTCTCCAGGAAGCCATCTCTGACCTTCTGAAGAGTTTCACTCAGCTCCATTAGCCTTTTCTCCAGGGACAATATCAACTGAAGACCAAATATTTTATGTAGAATTTAAGTGATTACATACATAGACTGAGCTTAATTTTGACTAGGACACATGATTCAGATTTTGTCCGTACCTGTTGTTTATCTTCACACATCCTCTCGATGGCACATTTTTCTCTGTAAAGACGTTTGTATCGATCTTCCCCTGTGTGGGTAAAACGAGTTAACTCTGCTATTACAAATAAAAAAGTTGTGTTTGTGAGGGACTTGTTTTGATAAAAACAGCATGTGTTTATTTTGACCCACTACCATTTAAAGTGGGGTTTCTATACCTCCTCCCAGAGGGCATTTCCTAAAGAGAGAAGATGCTAAGCTATATGCTAACCTGCTGTAGCTTCCGTTGGTTTAGATGTTTGAGTCTGACACGACTGGTCCACTGATGGAGCTGCTGATTCTCCTCCTGCACTGGACGTTAAGGCCTCCAGCTCTGACACTTTGCGTCTGAGGGCCTACACAGATGGTAAGAGCCAAATTTCATGTTTAAACTTTAACTCAAATATCTACAAATTCTTACTGCATGTTTTGGTGGCATAACACGAAACATTAACAGACTACTATGAAGCCAATCTGGTTATTTGCAATCTGATAAAATCTGATTTTTATATTTTCCTACAATTCAGCATGACATGCCGACATCTTTATAAACTCTTAAGGCTTAAACTTAAGGCAGACCTGTTAACAGCCAATAAAAAAAACACACCTCTACTTTCTCCTGTTCTGTGATGAACTCATCCAGAGGCACGTAGTCGTCCTCCAGATTGTTCATAGCGCTCTGGTAGGCGTGCTCTTTGATAGCGTCCTTGTACATCTCAAACGTGTTCTCCAGCTTCTCTTGGTGGCTCTCCTTCAGCTCTTCTATCTGTCGACTGAACATTTAAAATCAATTTTAGTCTTTTTGACTTGAACAACAATTGACTTTGGGAGACTGATGCTGAAATTACCACTGATAACAAATGCATACATGAAAGGTTTATGCATACTGTACCAAACAGACAAATGAACGGAAATCACAAAAAGGCAAGAATAAATAAAATTAACATACGTGCGGAGTTCTTCACTTTCCATGAGCTGTTGTATCATGGCGTCTCCCATCTCCTTGCGAATCTCCATTTCCTGTACCAGGTTTCTTCTTCTCTCAGCAAGGAGTTTTGTTCGGAGGCTCTCAATCATATTCACAAGCTCCTATGAAAGTTTCAAAGTGAAACATGTACTGGACCTTAAAACTGAGATGACTAAGTGTAATACAACTGATTCTGATACTATTGGATCACTTTTGTTATTTCTAACACGTGTATGAAACAATGTTTGAATGTGACATGGAGCAGTAGTTGTACATTCTGTGGCAGCACAAACATGTCGGCCTCATCCTCTTCATCAAGCAGCTCCTCTTCAGACAGGTAGCTCTCCAGTGCCTCGTTGTCAACCATCCCAGTGCTCAGAGGCTTCCCATCTCGGCCAACCAGACAAGGAGCCAGAGATTCCAGTGGCTTGGCTGGCATCACCTGCACCACCTGCAGTCCACACAGGTGAGGTTAGTGTTGCTCAGGATCTGCTACAGCTCACCGAGATTCTTTACGATTCAGCTCATCAGGCCGATTCCTCTCGTACCATTATGTACTCAGACCTACCTGATTGGCAACAGCAGAGAATTTCATTACATGGAGAGTCTCGTCGTAGGTGGAAGCACACTGGTTAATGTTGACAATCATTGATGCTCTTCCTTTGCCGAGGAAAACGGCCTGGAAGAGCTTGGTGAGTTTGCTCTCTCGGAAAGGAATGTAGCTCTTCATTTTGCTGAACACCACAGCAGAAAAAGAGCACTTTAACTATCTTACATTTTATGTTACATCCATTCTTGAGTAGCAGGTGACAAACATCTGGCACATTTACACCTAGCTGTACCTGTCAGTCTGACTGTTGCGAAGCGCGGTGATGCACTTCCCCAGAATGAGCAGGGAGTTGTTGATGTTTCCCGCCTCCTTCAGCCTCTCTCCGAATGTCTTGGTTTTGTTGCATCTTTCTGAGCCAGCCAGGTCACACAGAGAAAACCTGAGAAACAACAACAACAACAACAAAAATCTTAGCAGGTATTTCCTGCGTCGTAGCTCTGATCAAGACACTGGAGCAGTCAGATACTGGTATCCAGACCTCGTCATCAGCCCTCCATGGTAAACTGATGGTCGAACATGCATGTCCATGTCCTAGCATGTAGTTTGCCGCTATAATTATACAAAATGGCTGGATTGTGGTGCTATAATGTATGATGCTCATTGCTTGTGTTAAATTTCATTTTGAACATTTTAAGTGAGCTTTTTTGTTTCCAGTTGTTTAACAAACTCAGTTATTCTGTATTAAGCACGTTACTTTGTAGGGAGTCAACCACTAACTCCGCTGGTGTAGACACTGGTGAAACAGTAAACAGTGATCAACAGTTGCCAATTGACTACCTGTTCAACCCAGCAGTCATTTAAGGCTCCCATAGAGGTTGGCCAAACATTTTAGATTAATATTTCATATAATATTTTAAAAGATTCAAAAGGTTAAGTGGTTGCATGTTTGTTAACAGATAAACACTGAGAAAAGTAAATGTACAGAAGTGAAATATTTCAGTGTGCAAGGTGCTTGGATGAGGCTGGAATTTATGTCATTGCAAAACTACTTGACAAATGCAGCCACACGGGGAAACTGCTACTACAAACAAAGATATTGTTCAAAAATTCATGAGGACACAATATGATACTTACTCTGAGATCCTTTTAACCGTTCCACCATCAATCTTGAGTAACTTCATGGTAAATATGCTGTGGCTGTAATGAAAGCTAGTATGAATTTTAAAAACTAAAATTGACACCAAGTAAAGAAATGATTAAAAAAAAAAAAAAATTGCCTTCTGCTAGATGACTGGTTCATCTTTGTGGCAGCAGCACTTCTGTTTTTGTTTCCGAACTGCAACAATTTGCAGGCCTCGCCCAGGCTCTGGATGTTGATCCACCTGAGGTCTAAAATAAATGGAAACACATTTTAGGAGTTCTTCAAACAAGATAAAAACAAAACTAGGTCAAAACCTAGTACATTACTGGACCGCACATGGTCAATGTGTGGAATTGAGGATGTAGTTAAAAGAAACTGTTGTGGGCCTGTTGTAAAAACTGAAATCATCACATCCCACACTCTGATCCCAAAGATACAGTATTTTATTACAGCTGAATTCCAAATAAAGCTGTTTTCATTTACATGTTTTTCTGTTTCTGTTGTCAGACAACTGAACAAGTTTGAAATAGTGACTGAAACGTGGCCCATTAAGTCTACATGTTAACTTCCAAGCTATTTTGAAGCTGCTGCTTTGCTGCTGCTAAAATTCTGTTTTTACAACCAAGACGTCTTCTGTCTTTAACTCATGTGTCAAACACACTGTGATTTCAGTTAAAATGATCACTCTGAACAAAAAGCCAGAAGTGACAGAATATCTTTTTTATTTTGTCTCTCACATGTAATGAAAGTTGTTTATTTGCTGTAATGGAGGCGAGGCTTAGTGAACTGTAAGCACCACTCTACTTCACTGCAGCCTCCGAGCAGCCGGGAAACCAGAGTGTCTGAGTGACTGCCCGTAACAAGAGGTGTAGCCCTAAGCTCACGGTTAGCATCCATACAAGGTCCAGCCAGTCTTATTTGATACTAGTATTACTGCTTCTCTGTTGTATGCCTCTGCCACTCAGAGTAGTTTCAGGTTAAATCCCTCTTTATCAAGCAATATTAACCATTTGTGTCAAATTTTTTAATAATTTCTGTGTAAAGTCCTGAGTAATGGCTAAAAATGTTTTCTGAGGTCACTGTAACCTTGACTTTTGACCTTTGACCACCAAAGTCTAATAAGTTCATCATTGAGTCTAAGTGGACATTTGTGCAAAATTTGAAGGGATTCCCTTGAAGAATTATGGAGATATTGTGTTCAACAGGCCAAAATTATGTTATGTGAGGTCACCGTGACCTTGACCTCTGACCTGTAGTCACCAAATCTAATCAGTTTGTCCTTTAGTTCAAATGAACGTTTCTACCAGATTTGTACCAAGAAGTTTTTACAAGGCGTTACAGAGATAGTGTGTTCACAAGGACAAAACTGTGTTTTGTGAGGTCGCCACGCCCTTGACCTTTGACCCCCAAAATTGAATCAGTTCATGCTTGAGTCCAAAACAATATGCCTCTGGCTCTGACTATTGCTGGAATGGAGGCATAAAAAGTCTCTTAATCTAGCGACAAATGCGCTAACAAGGCATCACTGCAGGCTGTAAACACCGCCCCCTAATAGAACCTGTTTGTGTCAATTCATTTTGAAAGAGCAACGACCAATGGGGAAACGCCAACTCAGTTATGTGGCATTCAGCTGACCAATGGTGGACATACAGTATGATCACTCAGTCACTGACATTTGCTATTACATGGCTAGCTCCACTGTTGTGGTCCAGCCAAAAAACCATTACATTCAGAACACAAGATAAAGTCCTTTTCATACCTTTAACATAAGTGTTACCAGCACCGTCGTCACACACACGAAGAACAGCACGTTTCTTGGACTTGGAGCACAGGGAGGGTTGAAGCAGATCATACACACACTCATTGTAGATTTCAAAGAATGCCACCCATAAAGCAAACTGGATGCTGCCTGTTTCTGTTGGGTAACTGGCCAACACTAATGGATGGAGAAAGTGGAGAGCACAGAGGACAACAAAAACCAAAGAAACTGAGAAATGAAAGAGTGGGAGATCATAATGCACTACACCAATCGACATTTTTCACTGCAGTGGACAACTGAAAGTTAAACAGTTTTAATTGCAAGATATTTCAGAGGTTCAGTGTGTTGATTTAATTCAGGCTACCTGTACGATTGCAGGACAAAGAGGAGGATGAAAGACCAGCGGCAGCACAGGGCACAGACTCTGAACCACCACTGGCTCTGAGAGGATCACACTCCTAAGACAGGAACAAAGACAAACACGTTGAGGGTAAGTTGCAGAGAGAGCTGTGGCTGTTGTGACTCATTCCGGATATTTTCAATCCTCAGCGAGCTGAGAAAACATCTTTGGGATACAAACCTCTTTGAATGAACCAAAAATGGCTGCTTTAGCACTTCTCTCCTGCTTGACTTGGTCAAGATCCAGATATTGGGCATCGTTCCTCAGGTAGGGTTTCAGGTCCATCCCCTCATACTGATGGCCTCCGATATGGTGAAAGGTGGCGTCCAGCACTCGGGGGAGGATTCCCGGATCTTTTGGGGTTCCTGAAACAGTCAGCACACTTAGACCAATTAAAGAACTTCACAGGACTTCTGCAGCTCATTATAATGTCCTTGCATTCCCATTTTTACCTTGGATTGTGAAGGTTTTCCCAGCATTGGTTACACCATAGCTGAATATCAGTGCAGTCTTTCCTTCCAAGAAGCCGGACATTTGGCTTTTGACTGCGTCCTCAAACAGCTCAAACTGTGTCGTATCAGGTCCAAAAATCTAAAAGTCAACAGAGAGAAAGTTTTCTTCATGTCACTTTCAAAAAATCTAAACATTGTCTTTTCCCAGTGTCTAAGCTAAAAGCTGATGTCAAATAAAGTAACTTCAAACAAGCGGGTAAAATATCAATATTTACCCAGTCACGACTGGCTAAGCATTTTTCTCCTCATATGTGATGCTAGAACATCTGTAATCATTTTGTTGTCAAAACATGGTGACACTCTTGGTTGGAAATTAATCTTTGTGTTAAATCTAAAACGGCATGAAGCCGATCCAGAATGTTTTAGGAGTCAATGTGTACACAGACTTCTTAAAAAGCACATTTCAGGTGTAGCTGACCTGCGAGAAGGAGAATTTGTGGAGTGACATGCCAATGCCCTTCTCACTGCTCTTCATGGTGGCAGAACCTTTTGGTGCGTTCAGTGTCACCGTCTGGCTGTTTTCAATCACCACACAATCCTAAGAGAAAAGGAAAAAAGTGAAGAGGAACATTGGTAGTAAGGCCTAAAGAAAAGGCAAGATGGGTGAGCTAGGTACAAATTCAAGTTTCCCTCATGCCAGATTACTATTTTATTTCAGAATATATTATAAAAACTTTAAAAAAAAAAAAAAAAAAAAAAAAGGTATTAGTACAGTGGTACTGGTTTCATTGAGACAGACAGTCAGGCATCTGAATAAATGGAAAAACATGACAGCACCACATTCAAAACTGCATTACACATACAACTAAATAAAAAATACATTTAAAAAAATACTTTCAGAGATTTATGTAACATTTGTTGGTCAGTGTTCCCTATTACTATATACAAAAAAAACCCCAAGCAACAAATGAATAAATGAAAATAAAATAGATCAGATGCCATAATTGCTATGACTGTCAGCTACTGTACTGAGCACTACATGGCCTGGATGACACCCTTCACGTCAGATGCTGGACTGTACCTGGTCTTCATTGTCAGAGAGCTCCTCTCTAGAGAAGGGCCTGACTCTGAGGTAAACTCTCATGGTCTGCTGCTCTGCGCCGCCTGCACCTGGCCCTTCAGTCTAGAACCACAGGAGACAACAGTCAGACTGGGAACTCTCCTCAGTGCATAAAGGATGAGTTTTCAGGGTTTATTTCAAAGCCTTCTGATCAGTTAATGACAGGACCAAACACACATTACTAAATATAAAATGACTCAGGATCTGAACTGTGTCACTGTTTGATCAAAACAAAACATTACCTGCTGAGCTGACGTGTTGACAGGGGGAACATTACAGGTCAAGTCCATGTCTTCAGGCTGCTGGATGCCTTGTTCAGAGCTCAGATCAATAGCTGAACTCATCTTGAAACAAACCAGCTCCAGAAGTCTGTTAACTCATTCACTCTAATTCACTGTGACCAATTCTCTGCACAAATAAAAGATGTGACAGTGTCTGACTCTAAGAGGGAACAAGATATTTTCTGTCTTAACATGAAAAGAACTACAGGTTTGGTCTGCTGCTGTTCTCCCACTGAAAATCAGGGGGAGCTTGTAATCAGTTTTAATTGAAGGCAGGTGAGAAGTTGAGCAAATCACCAGGAACAACCAGTCAGCTTAGTGCTCTGCTGGGTTCAGTTCAGAGGTGCTGTATCATATCACAGTCTGAGGGTCTAGGGTATAAGGTGACAGATGCTGCTGTATCTAACTACATCCACATAGACAGAGCACTTTTATTCTCAAGAGATTATATAAATCCAAAAATGAAAGCAAAACCAACCACCCTGTGACTCATTTTGTAAATTGTGAATAAGAGTGTGTATTATGTCAAAGCAGAGTATTTTCCTCTTACATTGAAAAGAGAAAATGCAAAGGTGTTCTGTAAAAGCTCCAAATTGGACATGATCTTCTACAGGTGATTCTCAGACATTCCTGTATTTGGACTTTCACATTCTCCCCCAGTATGCAGAAAAGGAAAAAGATTGTGGGAACGAGATTCATAAGAGAGCTGATGTGCAGGATAAATATATTTTCTCCGAGTGTTTACTTCAGCATCATGAACTGGACAGCCTTCAGGGATCAATTCAGGATGAAATCCTTTGTACCTGGAGTTATGCAGACTGCACCTTCTAAACCGTAAAAGCTTAAATCCACACAAATACAATCTGTTCTCTCCCACTGTGTCAGAGGAGCATTTTGGAAGTGTTCTAGTGGACAATTTTAAATGGTGGGTGAACTGGACAGTCTCCTGAGCAGTGATCCATTCTGGAAAACTATAAGGCAGGTTTAGATATCTTGGGTCACTGAAGGCAGCCTGCTAGTTATCATTGTGAGGGACTTCACACTGAATTAAAATGAAGCCTCTAAGATCACTAGCTGACTAATCATCTAATCAGAATCACAGTGAAGTAAAGCACTTCTAAACTTTTCCATGTTCCTTCTGCTGCAAATTTACGAAGTCTAAGTGTCATACCTGTTTCATAGTGAAAAACATCCCCATCCCACGCACTCCCTTTTGCGAACATTTCAGCCATTTCTGCTGTCACAATATTTCACACGTCAAGAGAACAAATAAGACATCAGTTTCCTTTTTGTTTCTTTATTGAATCATCTGCATTGTTTATGCGTCTGCGATGGTAACTTCAACCTCTACACCGGGTTCGATGCTGATGGAGGTGATCTGCTTGACAATTTCAGATGGGCTGTGCAGATCGATCAGGCGCTTGTGGATCCTCATCTGGAAGCGATCCCAGGTTTTGGATCCCTCACCACAGGGAGTCTTCCTGGTGGTGATACGCAGAGTCTGGAACAAGGCAGAGAAACCAAAATTTAGTTTTTATCAAGATCAAAACAAGAATCCAGAACACGTTGTCTAAATTGGTGGTAGTCCCATCTTCACACTGCCTATGTGCCATCAGAACCAGTGTCATTTCAAAACTGAATAAAGTTCTGAGTTACTGGAATTTTTGTTTTTTTAAACCAGTCACAATTGTTAATGGAAATTTAGCTTATTTCAACTTGCAAATTCTTCCCTTTATGCTCCGTTAAAAGCCTGCAATTTTTTTTTTTTTTTTTTTTAAAAAGCAGCAAGTGTGCAAAGCTGCATTCAGCACCTTCATGATTTGTAGCATATATTTGCTACATCTGATTTGTTGTAATTTGTCAGTGGCAACAAAGGATGAAGAGCAACAAGAGGGGCAGGTAAAGAAAAAGTTTAAACTTCTGTGTGAAACAGACATTCAATGATTAATTAGAAGTCTTCTGTGTTTAACAGCCAACATGTCTTGATGAATGCCTGTGCTAGTTTTGTCCAATGATTGTCTTTTGCTGACTTAACAGTATCTGCTTTAATGGTGCAAATAAAACATAACACAGGGAAGATGACAGACTTGATCTATTTTAAAAACAGGCCAATGTGTTATACACATACACTAAACACAATGTTTGTCTAGCCCATGTACTTCAGTACCTTGGTTGGCATGCGGACAGGTCCCTTCACCTTCAGGTTCTTCTCCTTAGCGCCACGGATCAGGTCTGCGCAGACTGGGGATGATAGAATAAAACTTAAAAGACTTGAAAAAACATCAATCACTTCATGATGCTTTTAAAACCATGGCTCAGAATAGCGTATACAGTCATCAAGGTTTATCACGGTGAAAATTTTATCCTCATTGCTCAGGTCTATGTTTCATTCTCAAAATGATTTTTTTTTTTATCTTACTTACCCTTCTCCAGAGATTTGACGTTGCGGCTTGTGAGAGTGATGCGGATGCGGTGAATGGCAACCTCAGCCTCCACAGGGGCCTTACCAGTATCCTTGAAAGCCTGCAGAAACAAGAGTTATCAAAACACTGGACCAGTCATCGATAATATAGTGACAACAGTTTTGCAGAATCGGTACTCAACATGAGCATTGAGCAGACCTGAATGCCTTCAGCATTTCCTCATGTTGTGACACAGTAATAAAAAAATTTACAGTTTACCATTTTAAAACCACCAAAATAATAGGTAAACTAATTATAGAATCGTGTTTAGTTACTGCTTCGTTAACAACCTGAAAACTCAGGTTACTCTTGAGATGGAGATTTACGTGGAGCACCTAAACGCAGCATCAGCTAACCAGCACGTGGAGCGGCAAATATTACAAGCAACAATGCTAACACAAAAGGTTGCTTTATTGTGCATCGTTGTCCATGTTAAGTCATGGGTAAACTCCCACGTCAGTTTCTCCACTTCACACTTCAAAGATACCACATACCCGGGATATGATCCAGCTAATGTTGCTCAACTGTCTTTCATCGAACTAGCATCGGTTCGACTAAACACGACAGGCTCCGTTTCTGTCTGAGCTAACCGACAAATTTATCCTGTCAAACAAACCTTCCAATCGAATATCTGTGACCCCATCCTTAATATTAAATGATCAGAAACACTTACTTTCCGCACTCACTTGAACAATAGCGTCACCGATTGAGAGACACAATCGTGAGAGCAAGACACTTCATCGGAGGTTTATACTTCAAGGAAATACCGGTAGTGCGCGGTTAAACAAGCCGAGCAATAAGAACTATCCTAAAGACTCGGTTGAGACACTGATGTATGGTGTTAACTTTTAACCGTAACAATAAACGTAGTACTGCTTAAGAGTCCGTTTTGTGTACGGTTTGTAGCGGGACGGTTACTTGAACGAGAGAAGCCGTCGGTGCTTACGTTAGCTAAAACAATCCGTAGAATTATGTGAAATTCGACGATATAAATTCCATTTTACCAGCAAAAAAACATCGTAAAACACAGCCACAACTATGTCCAAACAGCACATACCATTTTAATTATTCCTGACCGACTTATTCGGAAGAAATTCAGACGAACAGCGGTGAGCCAGGAACGGTCTCCACCAGCGTGGTTAGCTCTTCGGGAAAAGGGCGAGCAGAGGCCTTGGCTTCGTTAAGTACCACTCATCCGGGCTCCTGGTACTTCTTCTTTAGTGTTTTAGACTTAGTCTTGGACCACAGCGGCACCCAGCGGTGGCCACACTTTGTTTTAATTCCATGTACAGACTATATGTAGTTCCTCACGATGACCACTGGAGGGCAGTAAAGTTCACTACTGTCAATTCCACTATTATCTAGTTAAGTTAAACATATTTATACTTATATACGAATACATCCCTTAAAACCTTTCAAAAATAAAAATAAATGAAATGTAAGAAAAGTGAAAACAGGAATTAAAATCTGTATTTCTGGTGACCATCGACCATCGAAGAAAGTGAAGTCTTAGGCATTTAATGGTTCAAATAATTTTATCTATTTTATTTCTTCATTTATTTGATCGTATGATTTTATGTATAATAGCACAAACCTGACAAACAAAACACAAAAGTGCTTGTAATAGTAACACTGATGAAATATTTAGCAAAATCTGAAAGCTAACTTTTGCTAACTTTAGCCTTTTGAATTGTAGTTTTTAAATAATAATAGTTTTAATAAAGAATCTGAACTTGAACTACCTAAAACTCAAAAAAGAACCAAAATAAGGAGGTAAAAACCATACTGCGTGTGGCCAATAACCAAAATATTTAGTAGGCTAATTGAATAATCACTGTTACTACTATTCTGTCCACACTACAGAGGTGGAAAAAGTACAAAATATTGTACTCAAGTAAAAGTACCAATACTTTGATGAAATATTACTCAAGTAGAAGTAAAAGTACTCATCTGAAAATGTACTCAAGTAAAAGTAAAAAGTAGTTCATTTGAAATGTACTTTAAGTAAAAGTTACTTAGTTACTTTCTTTGTGTGGGGTGTGAGGGTAGTAAAAATAGGACAAGGGGTCAGAAATCTAAAACTATTTTGTTTTTAATTAAAGAACAAGTGTAACAAATGTAAGTGCAATAACAACAACTTCACAACAACTGAACTTCTTGTTCAGTTTAAGTAGCAGCTTAAAGTTAGTTGAGCTCATCCATTTAGTGGTACAACATTAAACATGCTTACTCTCACGTTTTCTCTCTCACCCTCATCATTTGTCACTGTTGGTTCTGGCCATTGTTTTACTGTCTATGGTTCTGGCGTGTATTTTTCCCCTGTAGGTTGAATTGTTATTTTTACTCAGTAACGGATAGGATTTATAAAGCAACTAAGTACAATACTTGAGTCAAAATGTACTCAAGTAAAATACAAAATACCGATTTTAAATTGTACTTAAAAAATACAAAATACACAAAAAAATATTCAATACAGTAACGTGAGTAAATGTATTTTGTTACTTTCCACCTCTGCCACACTATGTAAGTAAATGAAGGTTGACACACCACTCCCAAAGGTAGTATTTAAGGTAACTGAACGTCTGTCACAAAGTTGTTGCA